TATCACAGTTACTGAGTTGGTTGTTGTTTTTTTAGCCAAATTGGAAACAATCCTTTCCTGACCTGTAACAGATAATTACCAATTTATAACAACTGGTATGTAATTATGTTAATTTCAGCTATAGATAAGCTATGTAGAAATGCAATTTAGCCCCTTCCTTTGATATCCAAGAGGAGGGTATCTGGTTTCTGGGGGTAAGTTGGACCACTTGGGGCAATGAGGTTTCATTTTCACAAGCTTTTAAGAGGAAATCCTGGCCTGAAATCGCTCTCCATTCTTTGAAGGATATTTGCACTCTCTCCTTTGCATGGAGGAAGAAAAAAAACAAGGCATCTTCTAGAATTTTCTCTGTTCAAACACCCAACTGAAGGGGACAGGCCTTTGCCACAGTGTTCAGGATAGTTTCCCAAATAAAAATCTATTCAGATGCACATCTAATGGTCTAGGCTGTTTCTGAAAAATTAACTGTAAGGGGAAGAGGGTGTAGAATGGTGAATGGTTCTTTGTCATAAGCACCCACTATGCCTTGGCTTGAGGTGGGTAACTAAGAGAGAGAAGAGGAGAGGAAAGGAAAGGAGAGAGGGTAGGGAGGAAAGGAGAGGAGAGAGAGGTGAGGGAAGGAGGACAGGAAGACAGAAAAGAGAAAAAAGGAAAGAGGAGAGGAGAAAAGAAAAAGAAGTGAAGGAAAAAGGAAACAAAGAAAATGAAAGAATGAAGGAATGGAAAGGAGAAGAGAGCAGAAGAGAAGAGATGGGAAAAAGAGTGGAGAAAACAGGAGAGGAGAGGAGAGGAGAGGAGAGAGAGAGAGAGAGGAGAGGAGAGAGAGGAGAGGAGGGGAGAGGAGAGGAGGGAGGGGAGGGGAGGAGGAGGAGGGGAGGGAGGGAGGGAGGGGAGGGAGGGGAGGGAGGGAGGAAGAGAAGGGAAGAGAAGGAAGGGAGAGAAGGGAAGAAGAGAAGAAGAAGGAAGGAAGAGAAGAGAAGAGAAGAGAAGAGAAGAGAAGAGAAAGAAAGAGAAGAGAAGAGAAGAGAAGAGAAGAGAAGAGAAGAGAAGAGAAGAGAAGAGAAGAGAAGAGAAGAGAGGCATGAAGAAACATCCTCAAGACAAATTGGGGCTGAATGGAAGAAATGACTTCATAATGGAATTTTCCACCATGGAGCAAAGCCCTAGTTCAGGTCTGTCTACTGGAGCAGAACCCCAGTGTTCTGCTTTGACTGATCCATATTGCTTACTTCTGTCAGCTTTTCTCCCAATAAGTCAACAACTGAAGCAGTCAATCCCCAAGGCCAAGTTCCAAGATGGAAGGTCCTTTGTATAAGAGAGCTGGTAAATATCATAGCATGCAATAAGCAGCTGAAAATAATCTTGGAAGCTTTTGGAAATGACTCCTTGTGATCTGCTAGTGGCCAAGAAAAATTGATGGAAGTTCTCATCGAAGACTCTGCAAACATGGCTTTCCTTTCCAGCACCACATTTTTCAAGTTGATCAGGGCTGAGTGGACAGAGCATTAATCTAAGTGACCAGAGCCCAATTCTTCTCTGCAGGAAAGGCTGTTGATATTTTGATTTCAGTAAACAACCCCACTGCCCAACTGTTCTTAGTGGTTGCTGTGAAATACAGAAGAAAGTAGGAGTGTATTTGTGCAAATTTGTAATAACATTCCATACCACCTGGGCTCTGAGTTAGAACACCTGCTTACTTAGACATTTAGTAAATAATTGTTTTCCCTAACAAAAATTAAAAGCTCCCTGAGGTCAGGTCCTATTTTTGCGTTTGTTTGCTCTTGTCGTTTATGTATCCCCAGTGTTCACTGCTCTGCTCCTCCCCTCCTCACCCCTTCCCTCCCCTCCTCTCCTCTCCCCTCTTCTCCAAGAATATGGTTGCAGGAAGCAGCCCTAGAAATGGAGATTCCAAGGGTCTGATAGTGGAGGGAAAGCATTCCAGGCATGGGGCACAGCCTATGCAAATCTGTGGAAACAAGAAATCAGGTGGATTGTGCTAGGAACCACAAGTAGGGCACTTTGAGTAGAAAATGGATTGCATAGAGGAGAACAAAATGTGGTCAGTAAGCTGGAACGAGTGAGAGAGGGGCTGGGGTGAGAGTCCCATTTCTGTTTTAGTCTGCCATGCTTCCCTCAGAACTTCTGAAGTCACACATCATCATAGAGCTCTTTGGCTACTTTGGGAGGCAGGGAGGGGGCAGACACACTGCTTCCTTGTATGGTCTTTGCTGCGTCATCATTTGTGTAAAACGCAGAAAATCAAGATCTTACCCATTCCCTTCATGCCCTAAACAGGCCAGAGGCAGGTGAGCACCTTCCCTGCTACCTGGTATGTGACCTTTTCTCCCTTCCCTGAGAAGCAGACCAGGGCATCCTGCATATAAGTTAACCGTTTTAATCCTTCGCATGATGGTAGAATCAAAGTTTTAAAGCCAGAAGAGAATCCAGAGTACACCCTGCCATTGACCCATTTCACATATAAAGTATCTATGCCCTTCTTATATCTAGCAGACTTGGTGTCAAGAAGACCTGGGTTCAAATCCTGTCTCTGTTATTTAATACCTATGGTACCCTGGGCAAACCACATCACCGGCCTGGGCCTCAGTTCCTTTCAGTTATAAAAAGGGACAAAGTGAGAGGTGTTCTTCCATCTCTAAATGTGTGATCCCAGTATCCTGTGATGTAAATGTGCAAAACAGTAGGAATAATACCTGTAACAAGTTGTCCTTAGCTTCACAAAAGATGATGTAGTGGAAGCCCTTTGCCAGCCTTAATGCTCTAGAGAAATATTGGCAACTTTTATCTGCAAAGGGTTAATCATGCTAACAGGTGAATAGCTCCCAGAGGTGATTCAGAGAGGACAGAAAGCCCCACTTCAAATGGAAACCTAATATGTGAAAAGCCAGGCTCGCAAAGCGGATAATAAATCTGGAGGCAATTATGCCCCATTACAACAGGATTCCATGAAGTCTTTCTTTAAATATCCAGCTCCCCAGTGCACTGAAAATGATGATTCAATTTTCCCAAATTCAATTTGCATGGATCTTTTCCGGACTGCGGCCACGCTCGAAGGCTACTCCAGGCAGCACACCTGGATTGCTTGATGCCCAGTTGAAGGGGAGTTGGTTTCCTGGGACATGCCAATGGTCTGTAGCGTTCTCCATAGCCCCTCCTGTCACAGAGTGCTGAATAGCATTTCTGGGTGGCAGGGGCCAGATGCTGACTTCTTCTGGGTCCTTCCAATAGGGTGGATGGGAGGTTGGGCTGCTGGGTGACGGCTGTGTTTCATTAGTGGGTGCAAGGATTGTTCTGTGTGTGTTTATGTGTGGGTGTGGCAGAACAAGCCCAGGGACTCTGTGGGGATCCAGATACACAAAAGTCATTATCTGCTTCCCCACCCGCCCTCAATGCATTCCTGCTGGGAGAGTTCAGAATGGAAGGTTTTAATCACCGGGTGAATCTGGCCTCTCTGAACTGGCTGGCCCAGAATGCTGGCTGTGTTTTTCTCGGTGTTTGTTTACACGCCATTTACCCGTGCATCAGATCACTTCCCCAAACTCTGGGCCCAGGGCCCATTATCCATACAGGGAGCCCTCCTCTTCCTCTGTGGCCCAGAAAACCCCAAATGGTTTTCTGATTTGGAACATTAAATATAATCTGACTCTTGTGGCAAGTGATGACATTCCCAACTCCCAGATGCTTCCATTGAATGCATAACCCTAGCCGTACATAAAGGCCTATTGCCAATCTGCCATGAACTTGAGTGGCAGCAGTATCCACAGTCTCCTTGAACTGCCAGCCTCTTCTCCAGCTCCTAGAAATTGTTTTTTACTCATTCATTAATGCCTTTATTCATTCAATAAGCATCTATTAAGTGCTTACCTTGTGCCTGACACATTCCTAGGCACCAAAGCTACCCAAAACAAAAACAAACCAAAAAACTAAACAAAACAAAAAAACAAACAAACGAACAAACAAAACCCAATTCCTACCCTCAAGGAGCTCCTAATCTAGACAGGGGAAGAGAACATGTAAATACACAGATGGTCTTCATAGAATATATGTGAAGTCGATAGAGGGTAAATCTGGGTTGAGGGCGTCTGTGGCTGGGGACTTCAGGAAAGTCTTTGAGTGAACGTTGGTATTTAAGCAGAGACTTCAATAAAAGTAGGGATTCTGAAACAGAGGTAAGGAGGGAGTACTTTCCAAGCATGGTGGGGTAATCAATGCAAAGGCTTGGAGGTAGGAGATGTAATTACATGCCTGCTCTCAAGCCAAAGAGGCTTCGTTGCCTAGACTGCAGTGTGTACTAGCGTAAGAAATGTCTAAGAACTCTGGAAAGGTAGCCCCAACGGAAGCTCATAACACAAAACTGAGGAGTTGGCATTGCTGCTCAAACTCTGCCATAATGTCTGCAGGTAAAGATCCATCTACGTGCCTGCTGAGAGGCAGCATAGTATAATGGATAGAATTGAATTCAGACCCAGGCAACCTAATTGAGCCTCAGTTTCCTTATCTACCAAGTGGGTAACATCTTTGCTGCAATAACTATCTCCCAGAGTTCTATGAGGCAGTAGTATAGGTAAAGGACTTTATGAATGTCAGTTGTTACCGTAATCGTCTTTGTGACAGCCATGAGAGGCAACATGGAATCATACCTCCTTGTTTTGAGGAAGACCCAGATTTGAGTCAAAGTGTCTCTGTGACCTCAGACGAGTCACTTAAAAGACAAGTCTTTTAAAGCTCTCCTAATAATAAAATTCTCTGACAATTTGCCACCCTGCATTTGGTGAAGGAAGTTTCCACAGCAGGAATTAACTGTGCACATGAAATCATTGGGTTTGTACAAAAATAAAACAACAAAACAAAACAAAACCAATGGAGCAGAATGAAAGGAAGAAAGAGCAAAGGAATTTTTCTTCTTCATTTTTTGTTGCTCTGGCCTCAACTATGATAGAATAATTTCACCATCTTTGCATGCACAGAGTATAAATAATGTCTTTATTTTGCCCATGGCATTTAAAAATTGAAACATGAATTGCTTCACAGGATTAAAAAAAATACAGACTATTTCTTTAGTGAAAAACCAAAAAGTGATAGTAATGATGGACAGCTCCCCAGCGCTCCTCAGATACTTCTTTTCCCCCTCAAAGGATGACTCTGACTTGGGAGAAATCATCCCCAAGAGCAGTCTATGCTAGGGAAGCAGCAAGTGCCCCATTTTCTTCTCCAGGCCTTCTGGGCTCATTGGTGTGGCTCAAAGGTTCTCCATGTCCTTTAGCCATAATTGCTGCATAAGTGCAACCATAAATCCCAGCAGCCAACATCATGAGACACACAACTCCACAGACAACTCCCGTGATAACCACTGTGGCGATGGCATGGCGGAGATTGACTGGCCGGGCCTTGGCTTTGGGTTCACAGTCCGACCGGCTTTTGTCTACCTGTTCTTGGGCCTGGCTGGGCTGTGGGCGGTCCTGCTGGGCAGTGCCAGGGATCTGGGGCTGGATGGACCCCCCATTCCCAAGAAGAGGGAGGCATGTATTGTAGAGTTCATATGGAATTTTAAGGAGGTCTTTCCCTTTCCAGATGTCTGGGGATGAGCAGATAACTCCATCAGTTATTCCACCTTTAAAATTAAAGAATGAGCACAGTCAGTCTTGGAAATCATTCATTCGGCAATCAATTATTATTATGAGATGTCAGGCATTGTACGAGGCCCTGAGGATACACAAAAAGGAAATGTCTTTTCCTTAAGTAGCTCACAGGAGATATCCACTTAAGCAGCAGGAAAACAAAATGCTTTTTATGGGGGGGGGCAGTAACTGGGGCAGGAGATAGATTACACTGAGCCTCCCGGAGAAAGGGGTCCTTGAGTCCAGCTTTCAAAGAAGCTCCAGATTCTAAGAGGCGGAGGTGAACAAGAGAGTGTTCCAGGCTCCAGGGACAGCTCACTGAACTCAAGTAGGGACCAGTAGGCAAACACAAGTAGAACTCAGATGGAATTTATCAAATACTTTGGTTAGTATTGTTTATTTCAAGTGAAAGATATTTACCTCTTTTTTGATGTGAGTGTTTCTCAAGTGTCTGAATGTGGAAAACATGAAACACTAAACGAGCAATCACTTCTTTTCCCCCAAGAATTCCTATTTACTGGTTCCAAACTTACCTCGACCTTAGAAATGATCAGGAACAAAAGAACATGAACACAGACAAGAAAGAGCCAGTGAATTTGTGGGAAAGAAAAAATATGTCTTATTGCCAAGGAAACACCCCAATGTATCAATATCACAGAATAATATTTTTGTACAAAATTTAATAATAGTAATAGCAAACATCCAGATTGAGCTTTAGAGTATGCCAAAGGCTTTGCATACAGCATCCCATCTGGTCCTCACAATCGCTGCAGGAGGCACGTCTTTTTAAGACCTTCATTTGATAGATGGAGAAGCTAAAGTAGGCTGAAACTTAGCAACTTACCCAGCATCAGAGTTAGGAAGGGTACGTTTCAGGAATTGAATTCAAATCTTAATATCTCTAAGACCGACACTAGCTGGTAAGTCTCATCTCAGATTGCTCACTGCTTGACATTATGTGCTCTTCATAAAGGGTTCTATGTATCTCTCAGTACTTTTGAGGGATTTCAAATGTGGAATAGAAAAGGTTCCTCTTTTCATAAGAGCCTACTAATATCATTTTAGTGTCGGTGTGGATTATTATTATTATTATTATTAGTCTGTCAAGTCAAGAAACACCAAACATTTTCAGCACCAAGATTAGAGAGCATAGTACAGTGGGGAAAACAAAAAACAAAAAAACAAACACCCCCCTCCCCCCAAGAAAATCCCCAAACCTAAAACACTGGATTGTGAGCCTGGCAGCCTAGGCTAGGATCCTAGTTTTGCTAATTTTCACTGTGTGACCTTGGATAAGTTGTGGCCTCTCTGAGCATTAGTTTTATTTTACATTTACAAAGTGAATGGATTGAACTAGATGACCTCCAATTTCTTTCTGAGTTCTAGTTATACGACCCCATAATCTGACACTCCCCTAGGTTAAGTCCTATCTCCAAAATTTATGAGTTATTGGACCCTGGATAAATCACTTACATCTACTTATCACCTAAATCAGGGAGGTTCTAAATCTATGCTGGTGCTCATGGTTCTTGCACTGGGACAGGAGTGTCCCAGACTGAAGAAATAAAGACATTTCTGTTTATTTGGATAAATAAATTATTCAATCTTCTCTGGGAATAAAAACATAGATCTGTTGATACAGTCGCAAATGCTTAGTTACCATTTATTATGTGTTAACTCCCTTCTATCACTGGAAGTTCACCCAGTGTGTCAGGTGGATCAGAATGGGTGTGCAGTGCAGTGGCTGGTCCTAACCCTAACCCTAACCCTAACCTAAGTGGGCTTGGTCACAGAAGGGCTAGATCTGAGCCCTACCTCTCACCCACTCTGGGCCCCTGGGCAAGCCTCTTAGCCCAGCTTCTTTAAGGTCCCTTTTAGTGCCAACATCCTGTGATCTATTGTTATTCTCATTATTAATATCATTCCCAATTGTTAGACAAGTCAACTGACAGCCCCAAGCTAGCCTACAACTGGTCTCATGACCTGTGACTGTGGATTCTCTCTCTTGCTCCACTTCACTTTCTTCCATGCCCTTTTGCCTTCCAAGGTCAGCCAGTGAACCCTAAATCCTAAATCAGTACTCAGTGTCCATAGCAATAGGCTGCCAGGTCACTTTAAAGAAGGCACATTGTTCAAAGTCTTTGTTCGCCACCTACAATGTAAAATTTGGTGATTCTATTATTCCCTGTTTTCAGGATTTTGTGTTTGCCCTTCCCTTGTCCTCCTTTCCCCATCCTTTCCTCTTATCTCCCCTTGCCTCACCTTCTCTCTCCTCTTCCTTCATTTTCTCTCCCCTCCTGTCTCCTCTGGTCTAAACTTCTCTCTTTTCCCACTTTTTCCTGTCCTCTCCTCTCCCTTACCCTCTACTCCTCTCCTTTCTCTTTCCTCACTCTCCTCTACCTTCTCTTTCCTGCTCTTATCTTTTTGTCTCCTTTCTCTATTCCTTCCTTTCCTCTTTCCCTTTTCTCCCCTTTCACTCTCTTCTTCTCCCCTTCCTTCCCCTCCTTTCTTCTGCTATCCTTGTCTCTCTCTTTCTTTCTCTCCCCTCCCCTTCCCCTTTCTTGCATGTCTGTGCCATTAAAGCAGGTGGTCCAACCACCAGATTATCTTTATCAGGGCCAGATAGCACTGATAATTGCAGATGAAGCTTGTGCTAAGCCTAAGATAGAGGTTTATAGAAATTCCAACTGACCCAGAGAAGCTGGGCAACAGAGAGCTAAGTGGAATGCTGTGCCACTCCCAGCTGAAGTTCATTGTTTTTGCCCCAGAAGGTGGGTTGAGAGCCTCTGTCTCAAAATCAAAAGTCCAAAGTCTTCTTATTTTTCTAATGACATGAGAAACAAAGGTTAGCAGTGATTCCTGAGTTCCCTTGCAGGGCAAGCTTTTCTGAGAACAGGGAAGGATATTGTGCGATTACCCATAAGTTTGAACAGTCCAGGGAGTATCATGACAGCAAGTCAGAAGGCTAGAACTTAGAACTCTGTTCTATCATCTTGCTTGAATTCAAAATTCAATATTATGTGGTGTGGGTGTCCTAGTTCATCCGAGGTGTAGAATCCAGTGTGACTGTGGTACCTGCATTTTCCTTATCCTAGCATTCCTGCTGCTCAGAATGAGTGAAGAGGCTCAGATATCAGAGATACCTTGATGATTTTGGCTTGACATGGACGTGAAGACTGGGGACCAAGTGCTCCCCTTGAAACTTTATGTAGGTGACATGCAACTGAAATGAACTGGAACAAGCAAGTAGGGATGGGGGGAGGCAGGGGACATTTCACTTGGCATGAGGCATTGGATAGGAGAGAAGCACCTTCCACAATACTTTAAGCTTTCTATCATGATGGAATGGCAACTTCTGGGGACCAGGGGTATGGCCTCAAGCAGGAATGAGTGAATTAAAAGGATATTATTGGCACACTATAAATATCATGTCTTGGGGCAGAGCCCTAGTCACCCTGCCTTGGTTACAGCTTTGCAATGGACTTGAAGCTCTTTGAAGTCTTCCTCTTTCTCTTCCAGTCCATCCCATAAGAGGATCACAGACTTAGAGCTGGGAGGGACTTTAGTGGCTTCCTAATAGTTCATCTCACTCATTTTACAGATGGGGAAATTAGGGCCAGAGAAGATAAGTAAGTTGACCAAAATGAAACAGGAGGCAAATGTTGAGTAAGGATGTGAGCCCAGGTTATTTCATCTCAAATCTAGTGCTCCAGCAACTACATCTGCTCTTCCAGTCAATCCCAAATCCACACACCCTATTTTCCATTGTCTTTGACATTAGTTAGCAAGTGATACATTTTTAGAACATCTCCCATGATGTCCTGAAATGTCTCCATACCTCCTATGTTCTTCGTAACCAAATTTTTGACAATAAAGCCAGTTCCCAGAATACATCATCTTCATTAAAAGAAGTGTTGCTATGTGTTTGTCACTCTCTACTTAGAGTATGGACTTTTGAGTGTGCTCACTTTAATGTCATAGGATTTAGAACTGGAGAGGATCTTCTAGAAAATCTAATCCCCTTGTTTTGCAGAAAAGTAATCTGAGGCCCAAGGAAAAAAAATGACTTTCCCAAGGTCATACAAGTAGTTAATAGCAGACTTAGGATGCATATTCAGGTCCTCTTGACTTCAAACTCAATGTCCTTTCTACGATGCTATATCACCTCTTATTTCATCAATAACCTTTGTTCACAACTGTTAGGCTGCCTTTTACTAACAGCAGCAGCACCAGCAACTACAGTGACAACTTGTTAGCAGATTCCCTTCAAATGCAATGGCTATGCCAGCTCACTAGGAGGAATCTTTAGCTCCTTGGTCTTCTTGGCATCCGAAGGCAAATCTGAGATCAGCTTATCTCCGAGGTGTAGCAATCCTCTTCTAGATCCATGGTATAAACTGTACAGCTCTCTGACTCCCAGCAGTCCTGGTAGGCTTTCAATGGTCTCCCAAAGCTATCACTTTCCCATGTAAGTCTGTCTGTACATATAGGTGCTAGGAGCTAGCTCTTTAATCCATCAGGATAGGGAACTCTTTCCACCAATGTGGGCCAGCATCTTCACTGTAACTTGGAGTCTTAGAGGATTGCTCTGGGCAGCTAGAGGTCAACTGACTTGTCCAGCCAGCATGTGTGAGTGGCAAGTCTTGAACTTGTCTTCCTGACTTCAAGGGCAGCTTTTTATTCATCATACCCCACCGCTTCTCATGTACATGTCTGGCTGTTTATCTGCCTGTCTCAGATGAATGTACTAAATGAATATATAGGAGAATAGACTTGGAGATAGATGAAAGCCTTAGATCAAAGAGGGAAAGTATTTATTATTAAGTTATTACCATATGACAAGCATTCACTTCATTCAGACTTCCTGGCTGTATACAAATGTAGAAACTTAAATCTGGGCCCAGAGAGATTAAACAACTTTGCACAATCATCAAGTTGGATGGGAGGGAAACTCAGAGGCCAACTTGTCTAAGCCACAACCTAAGAATCACTTCTGTAATATACGTTCCTGAAGACTGGACAACCAGCCTTTGCTTTACTACCTCAGTAGGTAGGAGCTCACTGCCATCAAAAGCAGCCCCTGTCTCTTTTAGAAAGTTCTAATGGTTCAGAAATTTCTCCTCCCTCCCTCTCTCCCTCCCTCCCTCCCTTCCTTCTTCCCTTCCTTCCTCCTTTCTTTCCTTCCTCTCATTCTCTCTAGCTTTCTTTTTCTCTCTTTGATTCGTTTCTACTTTGTTTCTTTTTTCTCTTTCCCTCACTTTCTCTTTCCTTTTTTCCTCTATGCTGCTCTTTCTTTCTCTTCCTTCCTTCTCTTTCTCTTTCACCTCTCCCCTCCCCTCCCCTTTCCTTTCTCTCTCTCATTTCTTCTTTTCTTCTCTTTCTCCTGATTTTTTTTTCTGGTGTTGGACTATAGTTGTGATTTCAGCAGGGTAGGGAAATCACTTGTACCATGTAGATCAGTAACTCTTCCACAAATTATTATCCTTAGAAGTTGACTGGGAGAACAGAAGACTTTCCCCAGGTCACAAAGACAGTTGGTGTCAGGGGCAAGACATGACATCTTTCTGAGCCACTGTCTGCCCTTCTGGCACTTGTACCACGATGTTTCTCTCTTCATTTAAAAAAAAAATATAGCCTCGGTTCTATTGAAAGTGTAAGAAAAGTTTTCACTTCCGAGCACTAAAGAGACAGCAACGGGGAAATACACCACACACACAAACACACACACACACGCACACACATGCACGCACATTTACACACACAGAAAATACATTGAGCCTCCTTTACACACATATGTATCTGAGTAGGTATATGTGTTTATATACACATGCACATATATACAAATGTATACAGATGTATATGTGCATGTTTGTGGTAAGAGACAATTTTTCCTTGGTATGCCATTTCCTTTCTTAGGACTTTCGTTTCTTCCTCTGTAAAAGGTGTGTGTGTGGGTGGGGTGGAAAATCTACTGACCTCTGAGCTCCATTCCTTCTCTGTCTGTGATTCTGGGAAAAACTCTTTAGTAAAACCCATTTGCCAATAGATGTATAAACACATCCCCATTTTGCGGAGGCCTCCTGTCTGTCCATTCTTGCCTGTACCTGTAATGTCATTGGCCCTGGCACACAAATTAACCTTGGACTGCCCACTCTCAAAGCACTTTCTAAAGTGCAGAACAAACCCGTCCATTCCCCACATGCTGGATGGTTGTTTCAATACACAACTTACTGACCTTTGTATACAAAGCTCTCCAGCCACAGTTTAAGATCCAGCAGGTGACAATCACATTTCCAGAGATTGTCCTTGAAGAATAAAGCTCTCAGGCTGGGGAGGGATGCCAGGGGAGCCCTGTGGACCTGCTGTAATTGGTTCCTTTGTATGGCAAGTCGAGTTAGGCGGCTTAGGGTGTCCCCCTTAAACACGGGCAGCTCCTGTATGTCATTAAAGGACAAATCCAGCTGTTGCAGTTGGGGTAGGGAGTGGAAAACTTTGCTTTCCAAGGAATGAAGAGAGTTCTGTGTTAGGTTTAAAACCTGTAAGTGGGCAAGCCCCAAGAAAGCACCAGGAGCAAGGGTGAAAAGGGCATTGTGGGAGAGATCTAAGGTTCGGAGCAAGGGTGTCCCACTGAAGGCAGATGTGGGGACGTCTCCAATGTGATTATGCTGCAGATGTAGGATCTGGGTCCGAGGAGGCAGCTCCAAGGGGATTTCCCTCAAACCTTGCCTACTGCAGTCAACAGACTTTGTAGGTATGTGACAAAGACACTTTTCTGGACAGCTGCCCGCCCTGGGGAGTAGCAGTAGCACGGTGGAGAGCCACACCAAGTCACCTGCAGCAAAGGGAAGGAGATCACATTGGAGAAGTGGGTTTCAAGATGAAGACTATGGAAACCTGCCTTCTCCACTTGGGAATGATTTGATAATATATCACAGGATTGAATAACATCTCCCAGGGAGCACAGAGCAGATGAAGCTATGAACCCTTGTTGGGGGGACCTAGAGGAGAATTTGGAGATGAGCCACTACTACAAACTTGAAGCTAAGGAGGCACCTTTGTTTTGTTTTGCTTTTCCCTGCTGGGTATTTAGAAGTTTGAATTCCCCAAAGCATCAAACTGAAAGTGGAAGCCATCAATTTTCTTTCATTTTCCTTTTACTTTCAGACTCATGTCTTCCATTAGCTATGACTTAACCAAACCTCAAAGCTGGTTCCTTTAATCTTTTTGTTTGTTTGTTTGTTTTCTTTTAAAGTTTTACTGATGCCTTTTGTTTTCACATCACAGTCATTTCCAAATACATTCATCCTCTGGCCCCACCATCAAGTGAACCTTCCTTTACAACAAAGGTTAAATGGGTGCACGCATAGTCCCAGTGACTACATCTGACTGCATGTACCATATTTTCAATACGTAGCCTCTCTTCTCTCCAAAAAGAAAAAAAAATAGAATGTACATTTCTTATCTCTGTTTAAACCTAAGATTGGTCATTATAATGCATTCCTCTTCATTTTAGTCCAATTCAGTTTTCTAAGGGGATGACAATATTCGAAATATTTGAATATTTGAAACTGAGAGCCTGACTCCGGATCTCAATCGGTTTTTTCACCAATGCCCTGAACTTTATTTTGTAGACCTGTCTGAGATCAGAGGAATTAGAGATAAATTCAGTTTTCTGAAAAGAGCTCATCAAAGGCTTCATTCCCTTTGGGGGATGATTAAAATCATTTCAATTTCCAGCTCTTTGGCCATTCTGTACCCCCTTCTTTCCCAAGGGCCCAAGTTTCTAACACTGGCAAATGTTGGTGACATCAAATGTTATTCCTCCCCAGGGATTCACCAGCTAGTATTGCTGGGTTGAAAGCTGAAAAGTATCATCTGCTTGCAAGAAAAGCTCTTGACAATGTTTTCTTTGCTTTTGACTCAGGGAATAATACCATGTTTCTATTAAATACACAGGGCTGTTTTTTTTTAAATAATCCTGTCTAATGTGCACATACTGAGATAATGAAGATATGTAGCGATTCCTGGCAGGAGGATCCCACTTGATATATTTTGGTTGAATGGCCTTTGAACATTCGACACCCCCATGCCACCCCCACCCCACTCCAAAGCATTCACCTCAAGTTGTTTCTGTGATTCTGTAAATAAGCTAAGTGACCCATTTCAAAGACAAAGATCTCTCCGTCAATCTCTATTTTAAGAGCCTTGGAAATTACAGGGCGCCCTGAGTGTTGACTGTGGAGCTCAAACATTAATTTGCAACAGGAAATCAGACCTTAAACTAGAGAATGTGCTTTCAACAGAGCACACTAATCTATTAATGAAAGGCTTGCCTTTCCGTGATTATATTCAGTTTAGACATCTCTTCCTAACTCTTATCCTGAAGACAAAAAGAAAAAAAAAACAGCACAGCACATGAGAACACCACTTCTTAGCTCCCCATTAAAAAAAAATGGCCCATGGCAGACCAATTAAACATCTCTGGTTTGAACTATTTTTTTTTCCTTCCCAAGAGTCTGAGGTAAACAGACATTCTGCATCTGCTTGAGTATAGTGGACAGAAAGACCTCTTTAAAAGATAGTTGTTACAAGTACCTCCCCAATTTCCAAAGATGTCCGGCTATGCACAAGATAAAGGAAATTTCCTTTGAGATGATGAATTAAGAGCTCACCTTTCATGGCTGGTCCTTGGAAATTTGCCTTATGATATTTCCTCCAAATGGAAAAGGAATAAGCCAACCTCACACCAGAAAGCTGCCTCTTTTTTTTTCTTTTCCTTCTCCTAATCCACCTTTGCTTTGCCTTGCTTACTCTTGGAGGGAGGCATGGTGGTAGCTTCCTGAAAACCATCCATTAAAACAATTCTGCTCGGGGTCTCCATCTGACCCCCAGTGGGAGATTTTCTTATTGTGCCCTTCTTCTCCCTCTCTGTGTTTCAATTGTCTGGCTCACTGAGAGCTCCCCTGACTCTCTCATTCACTCAACAGGGCACATATAAAGAGTGTCTGTCAAACCTCAGGGAACAGCTGTAGCATTCAAGCCACGACCTGACAGCCTGTGCTTTTTGATTATTTAATCTGCTTGAAGTCCAAGGCACCAAAATAAAACCACTTTCCTAATCCTGCCTGGTTTCTACATTCTGGTGACTTATTCACCCCTCTGGGTCAAAACATGGGATGCCTATCTAGAAGGCCAGGATCAGAGGCAGCAGTGTGTGTAATCTTAGGACAAATCCAGCTAGCCAGTGATGACACAGCCTTGCTGGGGTATTTGCTTGCTCATAGAGAGATCATTTGTGCAGCGTTCATGGTGATTACCTGGGCTGCCAGGTCCTGGTACCCCAACATTGAAATGACAACCTGTTCTCCTGAGATGCCCCAGCAAAGCTACCTCTGCCTGCCCCCCAGGCTCAGATTTCCTTTTCCAGTTGAATTGGCCTTTCTCTCTGTGTTACTTATAACTGTTTCTCCATCCTTCTAATTTCCATGATGCTGAGTGCTCAGCTTTCACTCATAAAATAGTTAAGGGACCCAGCGCCAAAATCAGAAACCAGTGACCTGCATCTGTTCCCTAATTAAAATGACAGGGACTGTTTCTACCAGGGATTTGAATCCTAGTGAATAAGCCACTCAAGGTTCATGAGACATTTACTATTGACTCATTAGAATCTTCAATGAATCCCTTGCTTTCTCCAGACATTTCCCGGGGATCTCTATGCTCCAACAAAAGTTAACATTGTTGTGCTTGTAGATCTCCAGGGTGTTAAAGATTGATGGGCGGTACTAGATGAGAGAGAGAGAGAGAGAGAGAGAGAGAGAGAGAGAGGAGAGAGAGAGAGAGAGAGAGAGAGGGAGCAGGAGAGAGAGAGAGAGAAAGGAGGAGAGAGAGAGAGAGAGAGAGAGAGAAGAGAGAGAGGGAGAGAGAGAGAGAGAGAGAAGGAGGGAGAGAAGAGAAGAGAGAGAGAGAGAGAGAGAGAGAGAGAGAGAGAGAGAGAAGGAGAAGAGAGAGAAAGGGAGGGAGAGAGAGAGAGAGAGAGAGAGAGAGAGAGAGAGAGAGAGAGAGAGAGAGGAGAGAGACAGAGGGGGAGAGAGAGAGAGAGAGAGAGAGAGAGAGAGAGAGAGAGAGAGAGAGAGAGAGAGAAAAGACAGGAAGAAGAATTAAAGAAAACAAAACCATGATCTTTTAATTTTTTAAATTAATTTAACTGCTAATTGTGCCTAAATGAGCTTAAGTGATTGTATTGATATCTAATATTGTTTTCAATATTTTTTAAAGCATACAAAACCAAACAAAAAAAAATAAGATCATTTTTACCCCACTAGTTTTTCTTCTTAATCTGGTGACATTGACTTTGTTCATGCAAAAACTATTTAACTTTATCAAATCAAAATTGATTATTTTATTTGTGGTGAGCTCATTTATTCTTTATTTAATTACTCACTTTTCCCAAAAAATAATTCTGAAATTATAATTATATGGTAACTAGCACTTAAATAATACTTCAAGGTTTGCAAATACTTTACATGTCTTATCTCAAATGATCCTCACAACAACTGTGTGAAGAATTTGCTATTAGAACAGTCATTGTACATGTGAAGAAACTAAGGCTGAGATCTTAGGTGATTTGCTCAGAACCACACTGCTAACATGTCCCAGGAAAGATTTGAATTCTGGTCTCACTGACTCCAAAGCCCACTGTGCATATGCCTATTCTTCTCGTCTCATGTGTTTGTATATGTAAGTATATATGGATGTATGTGTGTAGGTATGTACATGTGTATCTTGTGACGAGTCATGCTTGAGTATTCTATTCATTTGGACCTTATTGCGGTATATGGTCTAAGTTGCTGGTCTAATACTAGTTGCTCCTAAATTCATTACCTACTTTGTATAGCACCATTCCCAGTCTTCTTGGTGGACCAGGCCCAGAGACTTAATCTGCTTTTCTTCCTTCTTTCCCCAAGCTGATTAGCTTTCATTATTTGAGTGAACAAGCCTAATCTGTCCATTTTTCAGTCATGACAATCCACAAAAAAAATGTAATAGTAATAATAACAATAATAATAACAATTTATAGTAATCCTCATTCTTGTGGCTCCATTGCATTGTATAATCTTATCTTTCTGGAGAAAAGTAATGATTTTCTTTTCTCCCCAGCCCACAGCATAGTGTATTACACATAGTAGGCTTTCAACAAATGCTCAGTGAATTGTTTGGAATTGAATTGACTTCCACAGTGACAGAAACAGAGGTGGGGAAATGGTGCCCAACTAATGAGCACACCACCATGTTCATGTAAAGGAGAGTGGAGAGTACATTCAGAGGCCATAAGGTAGAAGACAGGCAGCTTGTTGACACTCTGGCATCAATTTCCGCTCCCCTCAGCTTCTCTCTTCCACCTGAACCCTTTAAATCCACATACTTGGAAGAATCTATGGTGCCCACCTTGCACAGTTATTTGTTTTATTTTAATGTTCACTTGGATCTTAATTCCAATCTTACTTTTACTCCAAAGTTTCTATATTTTCAAAGGTGAGCACTCAACAGATATCATGGAACTAGAAGAGAAAGTCCTGAAAGTGATGACAGTAACTTAAATAATCATAAATGAACTGAAAATTATAAAAATAGGAAATGGATAAAAGGGAAGATATTGACTTGGTTGTGGCCATTTCTTTTTTTTCAGAGATACAGAGCAGGGACCATAATTAGCAGAACAAAAGTGGGCCAACTGAGAGGGAGCTGGACTTGGTGATATCTAAAGTCTCTTCCAGAACTAAACCTGTGCTTAGGTGGGAACTAAGACTAGATATTTATATGTGAATCATCTCTATAGATAATGCCACCAACAGAGGGGGACAGACGAGATCACTGAGGGAGACTTCAGAGAGAGAATAAAAGGAGGCCAGAAATAATGAATGAATGAATGAATGAATGAAAAAAAGCATTTGTTATGAACTTACTTTGTACAAATCCTAGGGTAAGTACTCAGCATACAAATATAAAAGCTAAGAGTGGCTGAAAGGCAAACAGGCATGATAGCAGTAAGGATTTTATGTGCCAGATGCTGCGCTAAGAGCTCAGGATAAAAAGAAGGGAAAAAAAATCCCTGCTCAGAGGAACTCACCATGTTAAAAGGGAGACAGCATGCCACCAACTGTATACAAGTAAGATACATTCAAGATGAATTGGAGATAGTCAACTGAAGGAGCTTATATTTTCATAGAGAAAGGCAATGTATATAGGAGAATGGTGTCTTCTTCAGTCAGATCAAAGAGATTGGTGATTATAGTAAAGCACAATTGATTGACATATCATTGGTTTGAATGGTAATTTTAATTTGTTTACTGTTTTCTGAGTTAGCTTGGAAAGTATGTGTACGAGGGAAGGGTCAGTATTCTAGTCATGGTGTGGAAATGTCTAGCAAGTATCACGATAGACATAAGACTGGACAAGATAACGTAAAATGCTCACCAATTAGCCCAGGACCAGAGGGGTATAAAACCACCATATTTAGTCATTGCTTATTATTACTATTATGATTATTAGCTAAATAGATTATCCTGATGTAGTTTGTAAATGAAACAAGAGAGTGGACAACAAACAGATGTCAAGTGATACAGATCTTGCCATGTTCTACTATCCCTAGCAATAAGAGCAGCACTACCATATTTTGGGGTAGCTACGTGGTGCAGTAGATAGAGCTCTGGCCTTGGAGTCAGGAGGACCTGAGTTCAAATCCAGACTCAGACATTTGACACTTACTAGCTGTGTGACCCTGGGCAAGTCACTTAACCCTGATTGCCTCACCAAAAAGGAAAAACAAAACTACCAAATTTTATCTTTAACAATAGACTCCCCAATGAATTAAGAATGTGATTTAAAAGGGACTTTAAGATGAAGGCAATGACAGCAGCTAAGTCTTATCAACTTTTCTTTTGAATTTACTTGTAAGATAATACCATAATAAAGTGATACCACCAATGCACATTGGAATTCTTTTTGCAACTTATAGTCTTAGGGAGTTGTTTGGGGTACAGTATGTGACAGAAAAGGGAAAGATCTTCCTGACTCTGAAGTTAGCTCTCTCCCCACTATACCATGACGGGCTCTCAAATGTATACAGAAGAAATCCATCTGAAGGTAATGCAATAAAAAAAAAAATTCAGAGAACAATTATCAACATATTTTAAAGAAGGAAAAGAAGAAAAAGAATGGAAGAGATCAGAAATGTGTTTACCCTGATTATAAATGGTTTATAGAAGGTATTATGAACATTAACCTACATGCCCACTTTCTCTTTTCTATAGAATTTTTGTGAGAATGGTTTACGCATGCATGATAAGTGTCTTCGATGAAAACATGAAAACAGTCAAGTGATTTTTCTAGAGCAAGCCCATCTTCCCAGCCCCACAGCTGACTAAGAGGTGTGGAAAATATCAGCTTCCATCCTGTTTATTGATTTTTAAGAAAGCCTTCAATTCAGGGGAAGAGATTCCACCTTCAAGGCTTTCCTTGTTAGCAACCTAGCAGGTGGGAGTCTGGGGGAGTAGGTTAATCCACAGCAAACAGTGTAAATCAGGGGAGGAGAAAACAAGCTTGTATAGAATTTGACATGAGATCCATCTGAGCCAGATTGTCCTGACAATGAGCCACAGATCCTGAGAACCACAGAGGCACCTGGGGGACATTCCATCCCCCACACCTGGAGGAGGCACCCTGCATGCAGGGGATGGGAGAGCGAGAGACATTGATTAAGTCCCGTGTTCCATCATTGCCAGGTGTAGATGAAGCTGATTGAACACTAGGGAGACCAGGGGGATGGGGTCCCTTGGTTTCCATTCTCTCCCCACTCTCTCCCCCATTTTCCATACAGCAACCAAAGACAAAATCTGACTGGATTCTTCTACTCAATCAATTCTAGAGCCTCCTTATTGTGGCTAGGATAGAATATAATATTAATTCCTGTTTAGCTTTTAAAGCCTTGCATGAATTGATCTTACACTATCTTCCCAACCTCATTCGGCTTTATTTCCCAT